CACACACACACACACACACACACACACACCCAAGAGAACGGGCCTCCCTGAAGGTAGAGAGAGGCAGGCCAGCCCTGCAGCCCCAGAGGAGTGTCCTCCAATCCCCTGTTGGACCTCTGGAACTGTTGGAGGCCGGGCTCGCCCCTCCCAGACCCCCACCCCATCAGAGTCGCCCCCTTCCCGCTGGAGCCTCTGGTCGGAACACCCCGTGAGGCCCACCCACACTGGAGGACTGGGTGGGGACATGCAGAGTCCTCCTGAGCACACAGACCGGTCCTGCCAGAGCGCAGGGCTCATTCAAGTGCACAGTGCCAGCGTGCGGGAGGGGTCGGGCCCTGTGACCTTCTGGCTCAGTTTCTGTGGGACCCCCCCCAGGCGATCCCTGCTGGCATCGAGGACACCACACGCCCGCCCCTCCACCCTGCAGGCACTGGGCGTGCGCGCTCCCGGGGGTGCTCATGGGGGAGCTGCCTCTCTGGGGGTGCGACCCACCGAGGGGTGTGTCCAGACGCTTCCAGGAATGGCCCGGCCCAAACGGCCAAGGGCAGAGGGCAGAGGCCGGGAGACGCCTGGGACACATGGCCGGGTGGCATCCGCGCGGGGGTCTGGTGGAGGGGTGGCCCAAGCAGAGGGAGGCGTCATCGCTGCCCTCCTCTTAGCGTGATGCCAGGAAAGACCCCACCTCGAGGTTCTGGTGGGCTTTACCCCCTGCTCTGCGCGGGTTCACAGTCAGCCTCAGCTGTGAAATGGGCAGGAGAGAGGGGCCCAGCTCGTGGTGGTGCAGGACTAAGCCGGATCTCGTGATGCCCCCGGCCGGTTGAAGGGCCGGTCCGAGGTGCTGGCCAGACAGGGCTCCTCCCCGGACACACCTGTGGACCCTACAAGGGTGACTCGCCTCGTCCATGGCGATCTTTGCTTCGCCTGACACCACATGAGGCCCGGCTGGGCTAGGTTTGGGGGTCCTCCCACTGCCCTGACCCCCAGCTGCTCACTCAGCAGTCTGCTCCCACCCCCGACCCCGCCCCGGGCTGCGCAGCATGCGCTCACGGAACATTGGGGGAGATAAGTGCCGCGTATAAATAATTAAGACCACATGCACATTCGCCAACAAAAAAAAAAGTTTCAAACCCCCATTCCGGGAACGACTGCCTGTGTGGGGCCCAGGGCGGGGCCTCGAAGGCCCACTCCACCCCCGCCCCCCACTCTAGAGGAGGACCCAGGAGGGGCTCCACCCTCTGTCAGCCTCTCTGGGGGCCAGGAGGGCTGTCCCCTAGCAGGCCTCGGAGTGGTCCTGCAAAGGGTGGTCAAGGGGCTGCTGGCCCAGGTGCCAAGTCCCAGGAGGATTCCCCAGCCAGGGGGCCAGTGGTGTCTGAGTCCTAGTGAGTGTCACTAAGTTCATCCTAAAAAGATGACCATCGATGAAAGAATACTGAGCTCGGCTTGAGTGTGTCCTTGGGTCTGGGTGAAGCCACATGGCCTGGACCCCTTCTTTCCCTGAACCCCTGGAGCCTCACGTGACCACGTCTTGGGGAGGTCATTTGAATGAACCTCTTCTGTCCCAGGGATCACAGCAGCTTGCCTCCTGGGGACCTGCCAGGATTCCCTAGGGACAGCAGCGTCTAGCCCCACCCCTTGGCCAGCTCTCAAAGTCCTCTGACCCACTGAGCCATCTCACCTGGTAGAACAGGGCACCTGGGAGGTATCTGTAAGCCACACTCAGTCCTTCCTGCCCCCCACTGCTACAACAGGAGCTCCCCCTAAAATCTGCCCTCTCTCCCTCCTGCTCACATAAACCTGTTCCTCTGGGCTCACTCCCACCACTGAAGGAACCCCCTGGCCATCCGCAGGCCCTCTCAGGGATCTGCTATGCCCTGCAGTGCTGAGGGAGCCCTGTGTGAGGGCCTCACAGAAAATGGAAACCTGGACCCCAGGAATCCACAGCAGAGTAAAGGATATCAACAAGTGACCCACGACAAAGGCTTGCCAGAAAGCCTGCTGCGATGTCAGGGGCTGAGAAAACACAGAGACGGGAGTGTGGTCCCAGCAGAGGGTGGGAAAATTGGGGAAGGCTTCCTGGAGGAGGAGGAAGCAGCCTGAACTGAGTGTCAAGGCAGTGGCACGTGCTTAAGCTCAGAAGAGGAGGAAGGCTGGACCCTGACCCGTACTGGCTCTCTGCACACTCGGGGCTCACAGCCAGGTGGAGCCTTCCAGCATTTACAGGCAGGTGGAGTTGAGTCCTTTTCATAGGTAGAGATCCCAGGCGACTCTACCTCTGTGAGTCTCCACCGGCCACAGAACCGGGCCTGCAGGGTCCTATAAGAACTGGACACAACACTCCAGAGCCCCTCACCTCTGAGGCCTGCCTCTCTGGTCACCTCTCCTCAACTGGAATAAAGTCCACACACTGACAGAGGTGGCCAAACGCATGTCGTCAGGTGCTTTCCATGGGTCCGGCTTCACAGTGCCCCTGCTGCACCCAGCAGAACTGACACTTCAGGTCCTGCACTGCCCTCATGGTCCTGCCAGGGAGTCCTGCTGCAGCCCCTGTCAGACACCACACTAAGGCCTTCCTCTCTGGCTGAGCCTCCACTCTCCCAAGGAAGCGCTGCTGGCTTATTGGTGAGAAGTTGTGCTGCCAACCCAAAGGCAAGTGGTTCAAATTCACTAACTACTCCATGGAGAGAGATGGGAAGTCTCCCACGCGGTTTACTGCCTCTGAAAACCTGCTGGAGGGTCAGCTATGAGTGAGGTCCAAGTCCGTGGTAACAGATGACATCAGCGAGCCACTCTATCTGCACAACTCCTTCTCCAGGACACACTCTCAGTGAGCCCTAGCTGGTGAGTGGTTGAGGACCTGAGAGTTTCCTTCCAGCGTCTGCCTTCCTCTTGGAGCCCTCACCTCTGTGCTCACCCTCCTCTCAGGATAGCTGGGATCCTGTAAACATCCAGCATTTCCCACGGTGGCGCAGGAACACCTGCCAGTACAAACCCTGCCTGGGATGGGCTAGGGACACGGAAAATACTTGTTTGTGGAATTAAACGTTCTGTTGAAGAAGGCTTTCCCAGGGACTCCTGGGTAATGAGAAGAACAGTCTTCCTATGTGACGAATGAACATGGAATCTTGGGGTCCTCACCCCACAAAACCAGAGCCGCTCAGCTTCCAGTGTGCTCCCAATGGAGCTCGTGGCCACCAGAGGGAGGCCCCTCTTTGCCCAGGTCACCTGGGTTTCAGTCCCCACCTGTGGTCCTCATCAAGCCAACTCTGATACCACTGGACCTCCCGGCAATGGGGGGGGGGGTGTCAGTGGCAGAATTCCTGTCTTCCAGCAGGAACCCCAGCCTGTGTACCCAAGGCAGAGCCACCACCCATCTGACACCCAGGGACTCTCAAGGTCCTCTGGTCACTGAGCCATTGCATCTGAGCTGGCTAGGACCAGGAAGAAAGGCCTGACGATGCTTTAAAAAAAAAAAACAAAAAAAAACCAAACCAAACCCAGTCAAAGAGAACTCTGTGGTTCTAAGCGCAACCAAGCACGGAGACGTCAAAGAGCCAAGTATCACAAAGTCCTCCAGGGCCCTAGACGGGGGACTGTCCTCCTCAGGAGCAGCTGTCCTGACAGGGCTCTGGGCACGTCCACGCTGTACAGAAACAACAGCACACGGGCCCCAACCTCCAGAGCCAGTAAAAATGCTCACTGGGAACCCCCATACATGGGTCCCAGCACAGCTGGCTCTCTGGGGACTCGCTTCACCGGGGTTCACTGAGACAGTGTTACTTGTTTGCTTGTTTGTCGTGGACGGCTGTGGTGGCAGCCCTGCGTTGGCATGCTCTTGCCTCCAACGGCATGTGTGCGCTTTGCGTCTGTGTCTCCCATTTTTGTAATTCTTCCAGTTGCCTTGGCGATGTAACCGTCAGGGAGCCGTGCCATTAACCCAAAGGCAGCACCACGAGCTCCGGCAGAGGTAACCGGGCCATCTGCGCCCACAGCTCCGGAAATGCAGCGGAGAAGCAGCTCTGCCTTGGTTCCAACTCAAGGCAGCAAGTGAGTGAGAGACTGGGCACTTGCTAGACTCCCATTGACCGTAAACATAACTTTTTCTTTTTTCCTATTTTTTAAATTATTATCAATTTTAATGAAAATTTACAGAGATTTTGAATTTCCATTCTTTCATTATTACACTTTTCTTCCTGATCACCTCTCCCCTCCAGTTTGTTCTTCTCTTTGAAAAGTAAAAGAAAAATTCTTTCATTGTTATACAATCCCTCCCCCCAAGTCCACTCCACTGTGCAGCCTTCATTCTGGACTCCTGTCATAACAAAACCTAATCACATATCCCTTTTAAACAATTCTTTCTCAAATCTGTTTCAATGCAGTATACATAATTTATCCCCTCTATCTCAGTCTCCCTCAACCCCGATGTCAGTCCCGTTTTACAACAGTGGCACTATGCAGTATTTGTCCTTTTGTGACTGAGATATTTCACTCGACAGAATGTCCTCTAGGGTCTGCTGTGGTATTTTCACACAATGGAATACTACACTGCATTGAAAAACAAGGAACTCATGCAATATTATTCAAAACCTAACTCCCATACGCACTGGGAAACAAAAATCCACGCCACCGCCTTTAGTGTGATGCTCCACTTGTTGCAGTCGTCTGGGGCAGAACCTGTAATATCTGCAGGGTCTGCGTGCAGTTATTCATGAGTCACAAGTATCCACGAGTGTGTGCATATGTTACATGCATTGCTGAAACTTTCCCAAAGGTAGAAGTTTGGAAAGAATGAGATTTAAAACTCAGAATAAAGTTCTCCTCTCCGCATCAACCAGGAACACATCAATCAGTCGCTCCTGAGTCAGTGTAACTCGTGGGGCCTCGTGAGCGTCACACAGGGCCGTGCTCCACAGGGTTTGCAAGGACTGGTGGGTTTTTGGGGTCTTTTTAAGGAAGTCTCCAGGCCTTTCTTCCGAGGCACCTTTGGGTGGATTTGAACCTTTAACCTTTTTTGTATTGACGTCTTACACCATCCACAGATCACTCTTCTTTCCAAAAACTCCCTTAAACCTGCCACTATGCCAAAACCATGCTGAGTGTACAAAGCAAAGGTGACCCTCCAGTCCTGGCAGGGCTGCAGGTGGGGACAAGGAGAAATTAGACTTGTCTGCGTTTCATTTTAAGACAAAACTTCCTCCTTGGTTAGAGTGTAGCAGGAGGGTGGGTGCCTGGGTGGCATCCTATCTCTGGGGTCTGCTCAGCCCGTTGCTCAGAGCTTTGTTTGCTCCTCGTTCTCAAACACAGCAGGGCTGGCTCGGAGCCCGACTCACCCATCTCTGGACTCACACCCTCGGCTTGTGACCGGTGACTCCTGGCCTGGATGAGGATGCCCATTCCCTCCAGGTGGACAACTCAGACAAGCCCAGTCATCTCTGACAAGCGGCCTTCCCTGTCTCACCTCTGTAGCAGGGACCAGAGGGTCCTCCAGGACATGAAAGCCCCACTCCTTTCCACACGAGTCCTGCCCTTTCTCCACTTTCTAGAACCTTCCATGCCCTTCCACTCCACAAGATCTCTGACACTGTTGGCTGAAGGAGAGGGGGAAAGGGGGCAGATGAGAGTCTTCAGGGGACGGCTGCCTCCTCTGGGGCTATGCCTAGCTGAGAAGACAAAGGGAGGGGCCAGGGCCCCTTGATGGACCGAGCTCAGGGGACAGAGCTGGGGCTGCTCATCCCGGGCCTTCTGTGCCCAGCTCTTGGTCAGTGGGATATGGCTGGTGGAACTGGCCCAGAGATGTCCCCTGTGCCCGACACCCTGTATGTGACCACTCAATCCTCTTGCCTGGTGGGCAGAGGGGCCAGGGCAGAGTCTCCCGGACTGGGCGCAGGCTGGCAGCACAGAGCTGACCCCGTGGCAGGGTCCAGGCCCAGAGACAGGAAGCAAGAAGCCGGTGCTGGTAAACGATGGGGAGATGGGTGCGATTAGAGTCTCGCTGCCTAATCAGGAGCTGCTCGAGTTAGAGGCTGAGTTCCTGGCAGAAGGAGGAAGCTGCAGCAGTAAATAAGCCGAGCTGCAAGGGGCCCAGCTGGCTGCAGGGGCCCGGGGGGCAGGGGCAGAGGTGAGAGGTTGCCGCAGATCTGGCAGGCCTGGGAGGGGTCCCTGCAGTGCTGCAGAGCCCCTTGGGCCAGGGTTCCACCTCTACACTGTCCACAACACCACAGCTGCTGCCTTCCAGGGAGCTGCCTGAAGAGGGAACCCACCCCTCATAGGGCCTGCTCCCCACTCCCCTCCCCCCTCCAACCTGCTGTTCCTGGAAGGCTGGTTGTT